AAGTGCATCTGATATCCAATGCTGAGTCTGTGACAATGTGTAGCACTGTTGCTTGCCATTGGAGTGCCAGGTTAATCCCCTTTAGAGTGGCGTCTAGTTCGGTCAGGTTTATGTGTCGTGCATCATTTTCAGGTCATAGCCAGCAGGTGTCTTCTATGATGGACCCGTTATCCTCAAGGGTGACACCCATGGCTAACAAGCTGGCATCCACCCAAACGGTGAGCTTGTTCCCCTTAACACACCAGTCACCTTGCACGGGATCGTCTTGCATCACTCTCTCCATAGTTTCAGTTATCATGGAATCTTAGGGTAACGTTGTGCACCTCGTCGTCCCATCCTGACGAAACAGAAATTATGCGGCACTTTATGGCTGCTGCTGCCACTCTGAGCCAACCGCATACGGTAAAATGGCCTACCAGTTTCCCACACATGGAGAAGGTACTCTGACGAGTGATCACTGGCGGGACTTCCGGGATGTCACTACCTCGCCTCCAGCGAAGTTTTTCTCCATCACTACTGACGTGTAGTCCAAGTACATTCGCTCCATCCTGTAGTGGCTCTGGGGCCTTGCACCAAGCCAAAGTGCTCTAGATGTTCCTTAACCCTTGTTGAAGAGGCCATGTTTTCAATGACGTAAACATTGTCAATGTAGGATGACGTTGCCCTTCAAATTTACTCATCCTGCGACATGACCACATTCATAATCGCTGACTTGATTCTTGGAGCCACATTAAGACCAAATCCCAATTGAGTGAGGCAATATCTCTATCCTTTTACCATGACAGTCTGAAAGGGCCAGTGTGATTGGTGGACTCATACTTGGAAGTAGGCCTTTCTTAAATCGAGGGTGGCCATGTTGCTCTCTTGCTGTCAGCATTCCCACAATTTCTGGGCACAAACGTCAACGTTGGTCGTATATGCATCTACAAAGTTATTCAATTCCCTGTAGTCCATGACCGGTCTCACTTTCCCCTTATTCTCTTGCACTATTGCCATCAATGGAATCAGTCCTCGAGGTGGCCCTAGCTCCTTCTCAGGGTATGGCGCAAGCCAGCCGTTTGCTATCCAAAGCTGCAATTCATTTTTGCATTCGCTCCTGATATGCTCTAGAACCGGTACTCTGCTATTTTATTTTTCAGTGGCACGAGCGTTCAGTCACCCGCCCACTTCCACGTTGTGGTCCATACACGCCTGCGCTGGTCAAAATTTGCACAGAAGTCAGGTTCGTTAATCCTCAAAGCAGCACAGATGGGTGGATCAGAAAACTCGACTTCACCTGCCTCTGTGATGCGTACACCGCCCAGCTCCTTAATAATGTCCATCCTAAGGAGCAGATCAAAACCTAATAATGCGCTGTCCATGACCAACACACTGACTATGATGGGGTTACTGTTGTTAATACTGAGTTTTATGTTTCCAACTCCCCGGCTTCTGAGAGCCCTTCTTAGCCATTAGTATGTTCATCTTTTGTCTGCTCCACTGTCGACAAATCGAACTGTTCATGCATGAGTGACCGAGAGCAGCCCGAATCTACTAAAGCAGTACGTGTTATTCAATTGATGTGCACCTTGATCACAGGGAGCGCCTCTTTCATGCTCAATGCGGGAAAGAGACCAGCTGACGTTGCGTCCCCATTCCATTTCATGGACACTTAGAGGCAATGTGACCTACTTTATGACATTGGAAACATCATAGATCGAGATGTGCATTTCTTCGTGTTCATAGCGGCAGTCTTTGGCAAAATGATTCGACCCAGAGCACCAATAGCAGGTGACATCGCCATGGCAGCGGACGGCTGGGGTCGGATCTTCTTTGACTTCAATTGGTTGAATGACTGTGGCCACTGGTTCATTAGCCTCTTTTTTTGTCGATCATGATAGCACGGGCTCTGGTCAACAATTGATTGAGCGTCATGTCTTCCATTCTGGATGATGCGCGGAGTATCTGCTTAACATGACTAGGCAATCCAGACATGAAGGCACAGGTCATCCATTCTTCAGGAAGTGGTGCGATTGGTGTGGCGAGCTTCTACTGTCTCACCAGGTTGCAATGTCACTTTTCTGTTCTTTGCTCAGTTGCCTATCCCCAGCAAGGGCGCTGCCTTTCAAGCACAGTGGAAGAATCCTTTCAATCTTTGTGATCTCGCATAATTTGCAGACCAGTTCCACCTTTTCGATCCATTCAACCACAGACTGTCCACTCGTATCACCACTGAATTTGGAGATCAGGTTTATGTTGAACAGTCTTTCTGCCATCTTGCTAGAGACAAAGTAAATGCTGAAATAGCTTGTGTTGGAATGTGTCACAAAAAATAAATGATTTTATCTCTTTCTCTCCTGCTATCATAGCGACAGACACAGTCTCCACTTCTGAGACCGAAAACTGCCCTCCTTCTCATTCCAGTCCTTTACATAGAGCTTGCTAACTCACCTATGCAAAACACCAACAAGCCAGCTACCAATCACAGTTCCCGTGCCTGCCCACCTTCACTCATTTTGGGGGTTTCAAGTTGACCGACCAACTCATTACATGTATATAAACATAATGATCAAATTCATGTTAGAAATTCTCTGGGAGCATTATTTAAGTATTCCATTATTAATTATTAGCTTTATGTGGATCGCATAGTATTATAATACTACAGTAGTAATGGTCTGTGAGACTAGATTGCTAACCAGTACTCTATGGTGAGATGCCCTTATTAATATTTACTAAGCTCAGTTTATTATGGAACTAGTCCAGAATGATCTGTGAGAATAGCTTAGCAAGCACTCAATGAAGTGCTCTTGATATTTATTATTGACCTTTCTTGTTGACGCCCTGGTATTGAATTTCTTTGGTTGCAGAGATCTTGTATCAACTGTTGTTTCTTTTCTGGTTTATAGTCTATCCAAATTTTATCAACTGTGATAATTTATTGCAAAAATTATTATTAGACCAGAGAAAATGCAAATTGTTTTTTTTTTTTTGTTTTTCCATATATTGTTCAGTTAGCATTCAACTATTTTGTTAGCCATTTGACTAACAGTTTTTGCCTACCAAGCTGCTCATGAATTATAGACTTGACACATTCCCTAAATCTGTCTAGTGTTTGAAAAATTCTTGTGACAAAGATTTGTTGATCAGCTAAAATTAGGTCATGAGCATGTTCAACAGTTTCATGAGTTGATGCTGTTGAAGACACCTCAAACTTAAATCTTAGGTTTCAAAATTTCTATGATCTATGTTAGCACACCACTTCTTCATAATTTTGTATGATGGGTACTTGTCACTCAATGTTCATGTCATATACTTGTGGATTTCCTTTAGATTTTTCTTCTTTAGGAAGAGGAATTTCATGACAGCCTAGAATTTAACTCATGAAACTTAGACATTTTCTATTGACAGGACTCGTTTATTTGAAATCTTCAAAAACAAATATAAGGATCCTGTAAATGGAAACTTTACAATATAAAAAAATACTCTTTCCAATTACAGCCACAAAATATTGCTCAGATTCTGGTTGGGGGAGTGGATTAGGCTGAGAACTTTTCACTGCTCCTACCAGTCTATGTGAATAATATATAATAATGAAGTTTTCATCATTACTGTCTTAGAAAAATACTAAATATCCATCAGTTTGGAATACAGCAAGAGTATGTTGTCTTGAAATGACCTCATTTGCAATATGTATAAATGATTATCCATAAATATTGATTATACAGGATGCCCCACAAAAAACAGGAAATTTTAGATATACTGTATGATGAAAAATATTAACTGACATAAAATAAATTAACTTTCTTTAGTTTGAACACCACAATTAACATTTGTATTTTTGTTCTGTTTTAAGCTACTAAATTTCTATCTTTTGCTTTTGTTTCAAATAACTAACAGAAATTTCAACAATTAAATAAACTCTACCAAATTTTCTGGTTTATGTGGGGCACCTTGTAATTGACATAATTTGAGGAATGATTGTTTACCAAAGTAATCTGTGGAGAACTTAAAAGCAGTAAGCTAGTGCAACACAAGTCTAGAAATATTTCAAAAATTGGACTTGCTTTCTCTATTTGGCTCATTTAGGAAAACATAAAGAGTGAATATAGACTCTACTTTTGTAGTTGTTCTCCAAAATCAAGAGTGTATCAACTGAACCACAGTAAAATATACATCTAGAAAAAGATTGTGTAGAGCCAGCTGTGAATCAGTGGGATTTAGAAGTATGTGGCCATATCTGCTTATCACAATCTGGACTAAAGACACATTAGGAGTCATGTGCAGTGATATTAAATTGACTATAAACTTCCTATCAACAGGATGATCTGATTTGTACCTTATGTCGCCTTTGTGTCACCTTTATGTTACCTTGTGTTATAAGCAAGATAAGAACAAGAGGCCTGGTAAAGTATATAAAATCAATCATGAAAACACAAGGAAAATAAATATTCAAAATAAATTTATTTATCCGCAGTGTATAAAAGACTTTCTTGATCATGAGTGGATAATGGCAACAGATATATAGTTAGGGTGTAAAAATGGTTATCCTTGTAATCATGAAGAGAGTGATATATATAATATTCAAGCCTCATATAGTTAATAAACTATTTTTGGTATATATCTTCATCCCCAAAAGATATCACAAATTAAACTATATGCTGCTCTATATTGTATAGAAGACAATGAAGAATTTATAACAAACAAAAGAATTTTTTTTTAATCAGTCACAATACAATGAGACTACAAGACAAGTAAAGGAAAATTATTTTAATAGATGCAATACAATATATTTTTATTTAATTTATTATTTTTTAAAGTTTCTTTTTGTGCATGAATTCCTATCAATTTAATGATTTTCAGAAAGTAATTTTTTTATAAACAAATTTTTATACTCCCTGATTAATTCTAACATCAGCTTAAGTCTTTTTATGAGTAACATTTCAATTTTTTTTGTTATTACTCTATATAAGTGAATTTGGTGTAAACTTCAAACTTTAATTTCTAGTTTTCTTTCTTTGTAGGTTAATTTTACAGGGTGAAGGCATCCAGGAACAATGGCAACGGTTTGTAAAATCTTTCAAAACATATTTTAATTTCTATTGTTTATAATATGTATAAAATATAGAAATTTAAACATTTTCTGGATCCTGGTTTCAAAACTGTACTTAATTATTTGGCCAGTCAAGAACATTTACAGTTCTACATTTAATTATCTATTCAGTATTTTTATCTGTTGTCTTTGTTTTGAGCACCAATGTTACAAATACATCTTTTGTTTATGGATTAGTTTTTCTTATATTCCCTGGTAGCAAATTCTTCATGGTATGCCAATGATGAAACTTTTATCAAAACATTTGGCAACAGAATAGAGGGCATGAAGGAAATTATTGCTTTTTGCAAGGCTACCTTATCACACTTATAAAAGATATTACTTGAAAGGTCAGTAAGTTTGATTATAAGAAAAATACATCAAAATAATTATTTCCAAATGTTAATGGGTAATTTGCATTTATTTTTTTTTCTTTAATAGAAGCATTATTAGTCACTTTTCTGTTAGGAACTTTATATTTCTATTTTCTTTATTTTTGTGATATGGCTTTATAATATGGTCATTGTAATTCTCTTCATAAAGATAATTTAGGTTGGAATTTTTTAGATGCGAAATTATTTCATTATATGTCTTTTATGTATACTTCTCTTGATTGTTATATAAAATGTTTATGAATGGATTAGTGAAATGGTTAAAACATATCTAGTTGCCTGACAGTTGTGAATTCAATACTTGGGTTAGGGAGTATGGAAAGTCACTAGGTGAACAAACTGGATAACAGTGATACCTGACATGAAAATTTCAGGAAATTAATGAAAACAATCTATTCCCTTAGATTGAATAAAGTGTTCTGTTCAAAATTCTGAGATAATTACCAAATATAACAAACATTTGAAGAATAATGTCAGGTGTTGTATCTGAAAAAGTGTGAATATAACAATATTTATCAGAATCTAAGTTAATGTTTTCTTTGTCCTAATAATATAATGAAATTTGAATATAAACCAATATACACATTTTATTTATATCAAAAGTTCATGTTTACTAATATAAAAACAGGTTATTTTTTTCAATTCTTTTTAAAATGAAAAAGAGGTGCGGTCAGATTAAATAGTTCATTTGGTAGATAATCGTAATAATACAATATGGAACTATAAATTTCTATTAATAACCTATATTAATTACAATCTATTTCTGGTAATTTCATATGTCTATATGAGTATATATTGTTTCAGAGTAAAAACATAATTATTGAATAATAAATTTTTTTAAAAATTTTAACTATTTAGAATTTTCAGAGTTCAAAACTCTTTAAATTCAGTGTTTTTTATTTTATTTTATTTTATTTTTTTGTTATAGAGCACAGTGTCGCGTTTGTAGAATAAGGGAAGTAACTCTGAAAGATTATTGGAGGAAATTTGATAAATGTCTCTAACTTTAGCCCGATGGTTAGCAAGCTCGTCACATTGACCAGTTCGCCAGTTTGGTGTGTTGGATAATTGGTAGATGTTTTCATCTCACTAATTTAGCCTTGTGCCAAACTAACCTACACTTTGTAAATAACTATTGGAGATACGTCTTTTTCACTAGCAAATCTGAATTTAAAAAAAATTTACTGTTGATAATTCAAAAAATCTTTTAGTTTTACTTTTAGCTTTTCAACAATTAATTAAATTGAATTAATATCTACTCATGTAATAACAAAATTAATCATTGTTAGGTGATTAACATAAAAATTAAGTGTAAATGTATACCAGAATGAGAATTTGAAAATTAATTATTTTTATTATTAATTCAGTTTAGTTTTATTTTTGCAGAATCCTTTAGTAATCTAAAAAAAATGTCTATTGAAAAATTTTATAAGAATTCAACTGTGAAAAATGTTTTGACTAAGAAACAAAATGTAATTGATTTTGGTAATATCCTAATATTTATTTAAATTTTATGTTTAAAGTTGATGTGTAGCAATATCATTTATTTACAATATAACAAGTTGATGTGCAGCAATATCATTCATTTGCAAGTTGATGTGCAGCAATATCATTCATTTACAATATAACAAGTGATATTGAAAAATTCTTAGTCTAACTAAGAAGTGATTAAAAACAAAATAATGTTGATGTTTGATCAGATTTTGAAAAGTGGGTTTTGTAAAGAACTTTGCAACTTCACCTTGTGTCTATATGTGTGATTGCCTTTATACATTTTTATTTATTTACTTGAAAATATCATATAAATAATTCAAACATTACATGTTAGCTGACAATGAAGTAAGAGTACTTTTTCTAAAGCTTTTAACTAGATAGGTCGTTGTATGAATTGTCAATTTTTCTCTTTACTCTCAATTTTATGTCTTTTCTTACCAAAGGTTTATTATTATTTAAAATACCTGGTGACAGGACATAATTCAAAAAGTGTATTCCATAAATGATCTTAAATTTTAAGAAAAATTTGACATGTGTCAGCTTTTAAAATATTAGATCTAAATAAATTAATTTGATAGTTGTAATACTATATAAAGATTTTACTAATATGATTATATATCATAAAAAGTTATTTTTCTCTTAAGAGTGGGTGGCAATGGAATGGACATCTTTGTTTATTTTAACAAATGAAAACTTTAAGACATGGTCAGTTCCTCTCAGAGAAAAGGGAACAAATTCTTTTGTGGGAGACCATTTTCAAAACTGCAAGTTTTTATTTGATTTGCCAAATACACCTGAATTTATTTTTTAATTTTTGTCCTTTACTATAGTATAATTAATTTCATCTTTCATCTACAAAATAAACATTTTTGTCTTCTGAGCAATATATATTTACATTGTAACATGATTTACACAACTAATGTATCAACTAAAAAGAAAAATCCTTAAACTTTTCTTTTACAAAATTGAAAGACAATAGCAATATAGAATATATTGTTTTAGACAAGTTTATTGTGAGAATATAATACTACTGGCTTCTAAATAGTTTCCTATTTAGTGAACTGGTCTTTTAGCAACAGACTTGAGAGGGGATTCTAGAAAAGAAATGAAATTTATAAAAGTAACCTCACTTTTTAACTAATCCCACTGGATAGCTTCTTATAACATATCTTTCAAGTAGTTTCTATATTTGAAATAAACCTCAGCAAAAGCAGAAGAAAAAGAAATTCCATAAGAAAAAAACATTCTCCCCTTTTGTTGCCTAACATTCCTTTGCAATCTCTGGAAAAAGTTGCCTGTTTTGTGTGGGTCCTACCAGTCATCAGAGAATTGGCAATAGATATGGTAACTGATTATATATAATAGTGGCTTTTTTTATATTGAGCACTGTTGCAAAAAATAATTATTACATTATATATAATTTGAATAAAGTCAAAAGGAAAATTTACCTTAGCTGACACATTACGTCCTCTGAGGGACTTTATCAAGGCAAATGCAAATCCCTCAGAGGACGAAACCTGTCAGCTAAGATAAATTTTCCTTTTCTCTTTTATTTATATTGTCCTTTTACAGATAGACTTTAAAAACTTTTACATTATTCATATATTTGCAATTTATAATGAATTAATAAATATTTATTTTTAATCTGCCATTTTTATTACTTCAAATGTTATTTTTTAGTAGATAGCCAGAGTGCGCATTTTCGTTATTAAATTTTCATAAATGCAAAAAACAATAGACGTAATACACTGTTTAAAAATTTAAAATTATTCATAGCATATGGCAAAATAACAACAATGCTATACTGATGACTCATCTGCTTTCCAACCCTTTCACTAGATCATAACTCTGCAAATGGAGTTGATTAACCAAAGAAATTTTCCCTAATCTAAGATTAGGGAAAATTTCTTTGGTTAACCAACTCTTTTTAGGAAGTATCTTGGTAGTGGAGTAGGAGGGGAAGAGAGGCATAATATTTCAAACAGACAAACACCTTATTCCCATCCCATTTCAAGGGCCAGAACTCGTCCTGTTATATAATTTGATAACAGCCAGGCTGGGTTTAATTTGATTGATTATCAAAGAGTTTGAATCTATCATTTTTCAAACTTCAAATAGGCCTATTCAAATCTCTTTCCAGGTTTTTATATTTTCATTGGCTGAAGAACCTCTTACTCTTTAAGTTGGTTCTAAACTGATTACATCATCAACCAATTCTCTTTTGACCAATTAACATTATCTGGTTGAAATATAAATTTACCCAGCATTCATCGTTTTTCTATTTACCAATACAATTTCAATACTATTTTTTTTTTCAAATTATCTTCCTATCCCATAGATAAAAAAATTAATAATTGACAAACAGTGATCTATCATTTTATCCTCAAAGAAATGTTTGTTCAGTTTTATCTATTCAGTTTCACTGCTGCTTTTTCCGGTGAACTTCTCAACATTCAACAATGTTATCAAGAAGTGCCTCAACTTTATGCCAAATATGTTAATTTCCTAATCCACAGAACACATGGCCTAAAATATTGCATGTGTTTTTTCAAACAGTTGTTTTCTTTAGGAAGACTTTTTCCCTCCTGGTTTCTTTCTTTTTGATTAAATCTCACTTCACCCTGCATTTTTTTTTTGTCAAAAACACGATTTAATTTAAGAAAACAGATCTCAATGTACATTAGATTAACTAGTATACTAGTAAAATCCAAATGACCTAGATTGGCTATATAGATTTTTCACATTAATTCATCAAGGGAACATTGTTCCAATCAGTCACCAGGTGTAGATTCCATTACTTGTAAAATCCTCACCAGTAATTCTTACAATTATTTGTCCCAAGTGTGTAAGCTATAATTGCAGGTCTTAACTGAAACAAACTAACATTTGTCTATATTTCTGAAATGAGGTATTGTAACTATTCGAACTGTTGTCCTCATCTTTATTTTTATATTCACAATGTTTCAGCCATTGTACACTCTGGCTTTCTTTACTAATTTAGAATATATTACTTTATTTTTAATGGATAACCATGTTTAAAATAGACGTCCCATTTCCATTTTTAAAATTTTTAAACAGTGTATTACGT